GCAACCGCAGCGTGCAACCGTAGACGAGCTGCGCTAGTATGGCTTGTTTCTTAAGCCTAGGAGAACGAGGGACAGCATTTCAGACCATGAAGGATCTGCGTGCGCACGTAGCGCTGCCTTCAACTGGCGGTGAAAACGCTCCACCATGCCGTTAGCGGCCGGATGATACGCCGTCGTCTGAACGTGGCGACAGCCTAAATCCTTAAGCAATGTGGCAAAGGTTGACGAGAAATGTGACCCTCGATCGGTGGTCACGATGGCGGGACTGCCGTATTGAGCTACCCAGCGCTGCAAATAAGATTTCGCTACCGTTTCCGAGGAGCAATTTGGGATAGGGACTGCCTCAGGTCATCTAGTAAATCGATAGTTGCAGGTCAGTAGATATACAGAGCCTTTGGAAGGCGGCAGAGGACCTACGAGGTCGACGTGCAGTGATGAAAACGGGCGTCTGGCGTCGGAAACGTGCCTAATGGGCTTCTCGTGTGCTTGTGCACCTTCGCGCGTTGACACGGAAGGCAAGCAGCTACCCAGGTACGGACGTCCCGATTAACATTGCGCCAAACGAATCGTGCAGTTACGAGTTTAACCGATGCACGAACGCCTGGATGAGACAAGCCGTGCAAAGTGTCGAACACGGTCTGCCGAAACTCGCGTGGGACGACTGGGCGCGGCGTGCCCAGAGATAAATCTCAAAGTATAGTTCCGTCAGATGATGTCAGTGGAAAGGGTTGTATGTCCAATGAGGGAGACCTGCGTAGTAGATCAACCTCAGGATCGTTGAGTTGTGTTGTGGCCATGGCTGCCAAGTCGATAGCGGTGCCGGCGTCAACGGAGATAGCTTGGATGCGAGAAAGTGCATCGGCGACGGCGTTGTGCACACGCGAGACATGCCGTATATTGGTCGTAAACTAAGCGATATAGTCAAGGTGGCGCGACTCTCTAGGAGAGTATCGGTCGGTAGTCGAGCCGAGCACGTAAGTCAGGGTTTGTGATCGGTGAAGACGACAAAGGAGCTGCCTTCTAGGACGTGTCGAAAGTGTCGTATCGCTAGATACACGGCTAGTAGTTTTCTACCGAACGTGCTGTAGCGAGATTCCGTCGGTTGTAGGCGTTTGGAGAAGAACGCCAAAGTCTGCCACGTGTCAGCTACTTGTTGCTGCAAAACAGCGCCGACTGCCACGACCTAGGCGTCCGTGCTGAGGGAGTGTGGGGCGGCCGGATCGTGATGCGCTATAGAAGCTATGTTGGCGATAGCCTCTTTCAGCGACTTAAAAGCAGCGCGTGCTGAGGCAGGAAATTCGAATTTCGTGAGTTTTCCTCGGAGAAGGTCCGTGAGGGGTTGCATCAGCGAGGCGCAGTTGGGTATAAATCGTCGGTAAAAGTTGACAAGGCCATCAAAACGCCTGAGATGTTTGAAAGAATGAGGCTCGGGGTAGTCGATGATGGCTTGAATTTTATCCTGCAGTGGCACGACGCCTGCAGCGGAGATACGATGGCCAAGGAAATTGACTGAATCGACACCAAACGAACAATTTTCTGCGTTGATCGTCACCCCATGTTGAGATAAAGGATTAAAATTGTTCGTACGTGGTGCATGTGCTCTTCTCGTGAAGAGCTTGCGATTAAAATATCATCAAGATACGCGTAAGCGAAGTCTAAGCCGCGACAAACTCGGTCGATGAAGCGCTGAAAAGTTTGCGCAGCGTTCTTTAGGCCAAATGGCATCCGCAGAAACTCGAACAAACCAAATGGAGTCGTCAAGGCAGTTTTAGCGATATCCGCTTCGGCTACCGGAATTTGGTTGTATGCGCGTACCAAGTCGATTTTGCTGAAGATATTTTTACCCGCCAGACTGACGGTGAGATCCACTATGTGTGGGATCGGATAGCGATCAGGCGTGGTAACTGTATTCAAGGATCGATAGTCGCCGCAAGGACGCCGGACCCCCATGACCTTCTTCGGGACCATGTGCAGAGGCGACGCCCATGGGCTGTTGGACGGTCTGCCGACACCAAGCTGAAGCATGTGGTCAAATTCGACTGGTGCTGCCCGTAGTTTGTCCGGAGCAAGCCGTCTTGGTCTTGCGCTAACTGGTTGACCGCGCGTGACTATGTGATGAGCGACCTCTGTCGTGACTGGCGGAAGCTCTACAGCTGGTCGTACCAGTCGCGGGTACTCAGACAGTAGGTTCTCATAACCTGATGGTACATCGGCGATTCGGAAAACGGGACTGATTATCGGGGCGTCCGTAAGAACGCCTTCAGCCCCTAGTTTAGTACGGTCGGCTAAAAGTCTGTGGCGACCAGCATCAACGAGCAACCCAAAATGTCGGAGGAAGTCGATACCGATAATTGCGAAGGGTACAGACGCAAACATGAAGACCCACTGAAAGTCTCAGCGAAGATTGAGGTCCAGGTTCATCATGCGCTGACCGAATGAAGCTATCGGAGAATCGTTGGCCGCACGCAAAATGTACGTAGGCTCTGAGTGCTTGTCGTTAGCGGTCGCTGGGATGACGCTGACTTCCGCTCCCGTGTCGATGAGGAAAGTGATGGAAGAACGTCGATCCTTAACGTAAAACAGGCGATTTGCTTGTTTACTGACGGATACGTTGGTCGTGCTAGTATGTGAGCTATTCGATTTCCCTGAAGCAGCTGGGTCGTGCCTGATGCAGGGAGACCGACAACGTCTAGCTCTTCCGCCGTATTGGCGGTGATACCAACAGACTTCTTCGAAGTGTTTGAGATTATCTGACTGAGAACTTGTAGGGAAAATGTTGCGCTTTCGTGCAGAACGTGCCGTACACGGTGCAGGCACAGACGGGCCGCAATGAACGGTAGCCAAAACGTGGTCAGTAATTGACCATGGCACACGCTGCTTCGAAGCCTTCATTGCTGCTATCGTGCTGCGAAGTAGCGCATTTTCCTCGTCTTTAGAGTCAGCTGGGCCTAACGACTGGGAGCAAGCATGAGATTCGGTTTTCATCGGTGAGAATACGTCACCGGAGCTACTGGTCTTCTGCTGCGGAAGAAGTTCAAACGCAGCGTCTGCTTTAGTAGCTAATTCTTTCAGGGGTGTATCTATAAACATGGATAGCATTACCGACAATGGCTCTGGGAGACGTGCAAACCATAGCTCCTTTATCCCTTCTTCGTGCAAGAATAAGGGACCAGCGATGCGCGGAGTAACTCGCGGAGTAACGCCGACGGCTTGAGACCATTGAGCTGCTCAACTCGCTACAAACTCACAGTACACAAGTTATACCGACCTCCGAACGTTTCAGTTCAAAATGCTATCATTCAATTTAACTTTTTGTTATTATGCACTGATTGTGGCACTCAGAAAGCGAAGCTGCCGTGTTGTCAAGGTCACGGCGTGCTTGTCGTGCTTCACCGTTCGAGGTTTTCTTTACTAAAATCCTTGTTTGAGGATAGCAGTTAAATAAAACTACATAGAAAATTTGGCTTTGTCAGTTTTCTTGTGCTCCGAAAGTATTTAAGGTGCCAACGTACTCGGAATTCTTATGTGCCTTCCTTTGTCACGGCGTAATTGTCGTGTTGCACCGCTTGAGCTTTCCTTCTCGAAAGCCTTTCGTGAAAACAGAGTAGAATAACTCTGATAAAAAGCTTGAGCTTGTGTTTATTGTGGTTCAAACGGGCTTGAAAAAGCTCCTTCGTTCCTTCAGTCTCGCCCAGCGCCAACGGCGAACTTTCCTGCCAGTATACTTGGCCTTTGTTTCGTTGTTGCCAGCGATTCCCTGTGTCATTACCCGTATTTTGACCACTGGACGCTATCCAACTACCTCGCCTCTTGTGCGCGCTTTCCCATTCGTCAAAGGCGGATTTACTTGATTCAATTCTTGGGATATAAAACCTTTAAGAAAAAGTGCACACTCGATGCAGTTAGAGCCCCATCCATGATGGTGGATTAGGTCCATGAAGGGATGGCATTTTCGAATTGAAAGATGAGATGATGCAGTTATGTTTAAAGAAGAGCGACGAACGAACAATAAGCATTATTTCCCTTTGCATGTTTTTTTTTATTTTTATTCCTTTTTCTTTTTTTCCTCATTTCCTTCCCTTTTTTTTTTTTTTCATTTCTTTCCCCTATTTTTCCCCCCCCAGCAAGGTTGGGGGGGGGGGGCTGTATTTCCAGATTGCCATCACGTACACAAGCGGAACGTCGATGATGCGACCGACTGCAGACTAATTTCTCGTCGTCAACTATAATCTCCCCGCCCCCGGATGCAATATTAACACGCCATATCCCCGGATGCACAGAAGGGCGTTAGTGTAAGAGTCAAACTTGTACGAAATGGGAAGCAATGGGATATCATGTATGTAATTTTCATAAAACCTAGATGGAATGATTGTTATTGGCGATGCAGAATCTAATTTCATCGCAACTGCACAGTGGTGTGAGGGTCATTAAATATAACTGTACGAATGTCAGGGGATGGAGCTTGGCTCCAATCAGAATGTTTGGTGGTGGTGTGGTGTTGCGGGGCTTGTTGTTGTGGGTTGCGTCGGGCCGATTTTCCTTTTTCTTTCTCCCCTGGCTGATTGTGAAATTTTCCCTAAACTTATTTCTTTCTAACTGCAAAAAATAATTATTCTCTTTTTTCCGTAGCAGACCGCCAGAAGGAGACTCGGTCGTGGTTGTTTCAACTATTGGGGGAGCGAACAACACACAAACGTTAAAAACAACAAAAACACACGCCCCCCGGGCGGCAAAAAAGGTACTTCGTAGAAACAAAAAAAAAAATAAAAACAACGAAACAAAACAAACACAAAAACCACCGGGGGCGAAAATGGCTCTCCGCTTAAACACAGCTTTTGCAACCTGCTTGGCAAAAAAAAAACCCCTAAAAAACCTGCTGTAGTACCACAAACCAGGGCCGGAGACAAACGGTTTTGACAATCTGTGTGGTCGTGAACTGACTTCTATGAAAATCTTCTCTCTTGGCCACATCGAAAGCAACAGAACAGTTCACATTTTGAATGACGGTGAATTCGTCCGTATGCTCTGAAGCTTGCTGATATGGGAGTATTCTTTTGGTGCTGAAAACAGAGCGTGTCTGTTCAAGAGCACCGTCCTGTTTTTGTGGCACGCTAGTTGATCCCTATTGGCTCTAAAAAACCCAGGAAAGCCTTCGAGGATCTTTCCAGAAGTATTGTTTTTCCTCCTGTAATGCTATAATAATCCAATCCGTAAATGATGCGGGCCGATATTAAATTGTTGAGTCAAAAGCATATGAGAAATAACCTCTTCACAAAAATCGAACTCTATTTTCCCTTTGGAATGCCCTGGAAGTAAATTCGCAATGTTTTTTATTTTTTTATAACTACTTAATTTTTTATAATTTAAATGTTACTGATTTAATTTATTTTTTTTTTTTACCCCTTTTTTTATAAAAATTTTACCCTTTATACCGTATTGTTGTTACCCTTATTTAGAAATTAATATTTTATACATTAATAATCAATTTTACTTTTTAATTACTTAAATTAATTAATATAACTTTTTTTTACCATTACTTATAAATTATATTAATAAACCCTAACCGACGTTAATTACCTTTTTTAATAATTGAAATACCTTATTAAAACCTTTTTTATTTATACTCTTTTAAACATAACAAATTTATACCACACCTTTTAACTAAATTTAACTTTTACCCTTATTTTATAACTTATATAATACCCCCGAACTCGCTTTTTTTTACTTTAATAAATTATACTTAACTAACACTTATTTATTTTATATATATTTTGTTACGTTTTGCAACTTATTTTACCCTATTATTTTAAACCGTGACCCTATTTTACTCCGTCCTACCACACCTATAAAGTAATTTATTTACCCCCCGCTTTAATTAATACCTTTTTTACATAACCCATTAATTACTAATTACCACTTTTAAAACCCATTATTTTTTTTATTTAACTAAATTAATTAAAACCGAAAAATTATTTTTATAAATATTCAACCTGTTTTATTTATTAAACCTTATTTACCACCACATTTTAATAACCCTATATATTATAAATACCCAATATCTTACCGTGTATGTCAACCGCCAGGCTAACCACAAACCCTTAATTATTTTTTTTATTTTTTTATACTTTATTTTATAAAACTTATTTATTACCGACCCCAGAATATTTTTTTTGTACCATTAATTACTCTTATAATTATACCTTATTTATATTTTTTTGTAAATTATTAACTATACCTAACTTTTAAAATACACCCCCTTATATTTTTATTTACCCCTTTTTTTTTTTTTTACATTTTTTAATTTATTTTTACCCACTATTTTTACAACCTTTATTAATAAAATTAAAACCCTTTTTTACCCCATTACCCCCCAAAAACTTATTTAGTATTTTTACCCAAACCCCACCATTTAAATTTTTATAATATTAACCTTAATATACGATTTTTACTTATACCCGTTATAATTTTTTAAATTACCGAGCAAATATAACCTGGGTTTACCCCAAATACTTACCCGATTTACAACCGGTTTTTTTTAAACCTATAATTCCCTACAAAACCCAAATTATACCCTATAAACCGGGACCCCAGCCGTAAACCCTTATACCGTTTTTATTTTTTAACCCAGACCTAACACCCCAAAAACTCACGGCAACCGGCATAATACCCCCTACGCCCCCCTACACTTTTTTAGACCCTTAGCTCGATTGTACCAACCCTAAAACCACGTAATTTATTTAATTAGTATTATACCCAGCTTGGGTGGGGGGGCTTACCTCAACTTACCACCCCCCGCGGCCCCGGCACGGATCAAGCGGGAAACAGTGTTTCAGGGCTCAAACAGCAGAATTTGTAACGTTCATCAAAGACATTAGCTCGGGCGCACCAAGATCCATCCACTACATCTATCGCCTTTGTGAGCGTGTCCACTTTTTCTAGTTCCAATGCACCAAAGTAACGCTGGCCCTCATTTCCTAATAGGTGACGGAGGAGTTTCAACTTTTGGGCATCATTGTAAGTAGCAGTTGACGGTACTAAGTCCAAATAATTTGTAAAAATGTTTTCCATTGAGCCCAGTCGCTTTCAGTAGGTTTGACACTTGAATCACACCAGAATGCGTCCGGAGGTGGAAGGTGGAATGCCATTGTAGCAGTTCGCAGCCGCGACGCCAAATGTTGTGTCCCAATACGTACACTAGGCCCCTGCGCAAGGAGGGTCTTGAATCACTACGGTCCGAACCCACTAACGAAGTCAGCGCAAGGGGCGGACACGCTCTGGACACTATTCACAAAAATGAGTCAGATAAAGTACAGGCGCAATGACCTTGATATTGATCCATCGATGACGCTCATCCAAACATTTACAGGGTGCGGTGCGTGGCGTGACAGACTGGAACTTGCGGTAGGCGCTACAACATTAGGCATCGTGGAAATGTGTTGTGTCTGGGGAAGAGAAAAAATTAACTTCTTTGACGTCCGGTTCACTGTAGCTTAAATCTAATGTAGGTTAAGGTAAGGATAACATTTCAGCATTACTGAGCAGTTAATATTCCATAGTTAATAATATGCTTCACATTTAATGATATAATTAAGGCTGCCCGGTAAAACCGGTCTGTATATATATATATATATATATGTATATATATATATATGTATGTATCAATGTATATATATATATATCAATGTATATTTGTTTAAATATATGAATTATTGATTATTAATTATGGTCATTTATATTACCCAGTTAACATTAATGACATTTTATTTGAACCTGCAAACACTAAGCATAGTATTCTAGCAGTGCTTACTTAATGAGCTTACTTTGACCAACTGGTCAGTTGCCCCAAAATAACAAAGCTCATTGGGGTAACAGTGACCACCAAGGCAGTAACATAATGCATGATAAATGTGTTTGGATAATATCAAATATGCTTACTAATATTATTGACAAAGCAACAACACAGGCGGTTGTCAGCAATAAATCGGAATACTTGTAGCAACGAAACTGTTCAGCTCGGAGAACAGAACAAAATCTGAACAGGCGGTTGTACTTACACTCTCTTAGAAACTTCATCCACATTTGAAGACATACTGTGTTAAACACATGTCATGACACCGGCCATCTTTGACAAGAAGTATACACAGGAGTAAGTATTCCAGTTCAATATAAAATGATTTCAAATTAATGCAAAACGGTTTCTCAAAGCATAAAACCACTTTTTAATATACAGAATAATAACAATAAGTATGATCTAAGTTTTATAATCATTTTTCATGTTGGCCCAAAGTTACCCCATTTACGGTATTTCTATTCAGTCTTCTGGATACCTTTGTACTGTCCTTAGCGAATTTTCTATACATCTCCAATCTTTGGATTCGTCTTTCCAAAAGGAAGGTAGGTTGTTAAAGCCTTACTCTTGCAAGTGATCGATACTGTGGTGTCAATTTGTTTGCCGGCCACCAATTGTAAGCCTTTGCGACTTGTCTGGAGCGGCAAGGGGATTTGTGACACTCCCAAAAATTACAGTTATCCTCATCCTGTGGTGTCTTCGAGCGAGTATTGCTTCCCATCCTTCATAGAGATAATATTTGATATGAAAGAAGTATGCGTGTTGTCGTATTGGAGCGAGTCCTTGCCGATTCGCGTGGAAGACATGCGTCGTCTTTCCGCTTTCGACAAGAGTTGCTTAAGGAGGATCGCTCGTGTTTGGTGGCAAAATCGAGTTAATAGTAATGACATTCGACGTCGCATCTTGGGGAATGCGAGTATTCCCTTCAACAAACTGATTTTGCTGCGCCATTTGAGTTGGCTCGGTCACGTCCTACGCATGGCACCTGAGCGTCTACCGCGTCACGCCCTATTCGCTCGTCAAGGACTTGGCTGGAGACGAGCGCTCATGAAATCGCTGACGTGTCTATCCGCTGTTGGTCCCGTACATCTTCCAGGATGGGGACCCAAAGATGAGGAGTGCCAATAACTTAACACGCTTGAAGACATGGCCCGCAACCGGAATCAGTGGAAGAATTGTGCAGTATTGTATTGATTCACATGTTTAATACTTCAAACATTGAAAACGATAAAAAGAGAAAAATCGGCGTGTGAAAAACAAACTAAAAATGTTTTGTTTTACTTTTTGTCAAAATGTTCTTTTATTCCTGCAGCATATTAGCTGAAGTGTGTTGCTCACCTTTACCTACTATGCCACGATGATTATGACGCGATGACTTCCCCTTATCCGCTTATCTCCATGGTTTTTTGTTGGCTCTGTGTCTGGTTGCTAGACTGCTGAGATTATATACATACATATGGACTTACTTGATAGACTAAGATTTATAAAGACAGCGTGCTTGTCAATCAGCATACTTGCTCCACTAATGGTTCGGTTGGATTTCTCTCCTCAGCACATGAGTTACCATACCACTCTGTCGTATCTCTTATCTTCCCTCTTGTTCGTTAGGCGAAACAGTACACTCGGGCATTTAAAACCTACAAGATAGGTATCAACCTACTTCGAGGGAGCGCAAGCGTTTCCAAACCTTTGTATCCGCTCTCTGAGACCGATTCTCCTCCCAAAGCGCCCTTTTCCCCGGAGGCTTGCAACCTTTTGGTCTTATGTGAAGCAAATGCTGCACTCTGTTTGCTTCGGTTAGCTCTTCTTCCACACGACTCCAATGGTGAATTGAAACGAAATCCAAAAGACACTCAGAAGCTCCTCCGGTTGTGTACAAAGCATTGCCACCGAGCCATTGAGCTGGATCCAGGATACGCCAAAGCTTGGTTTCGTTTGGCGAAGGTGAGGCAGCTTTCACTTGACCGTTTCGCATTTCTCTTTATGAAACGAGCTTTCGGCTACTTTCATTGCGTCTGTGAACGTTCGCTTGGTTTGTTGTGTAGTTGATAGTGCGCCGAGTTTCAGAGACACAGATACAAAAGCAAAGTACGTATGAAAAAACATGGGTTCACACATCACCGATCTTTGGGGCTCAACAAATACAGATCGCCTGTTAGTTGCGCTTCACTGTCTGGTTCCGTATTCTGTAGCTCACTTGTTTACGTGGTTTTCGTCTCAGCGTCTGTTCCACAGCCGGTTACCTTAACAGTCATCCACTGGCCCGTAACCTAAAGGGAGCGAGCTTGTCTTGCAATCTGACAGTGCGGGTTCGAGCCTGCGTATGGGGAGGGCGACCGTCGCAGTATCCTCAGCCCACGTGCGACTGGTGGTGATTGCGCGACAGCGAATCATCGACACTATACCGAAGTTCCGCGGATGTCTTTCTTTTATTCTTTTTAATGAGTCACCTGTCACTTTTCCCTCCCTTGTTCTGTAGCCTACTAATTCCGAAAGAATTGGCTAACGAGGCTATCTTACCACCTAAGCGCTGTAGGTATGTGTGCGATAACACATATCAACCAATCGTTTTGAAGTTGTAACGACGGACGAGCCAAGCTATGTCACACATTGTACCTTGGTGATGCCATCCGCCTCTGCAAATTAGCGCTTAGCAACTTGCGTCACTGTCTTCTAATGTAAAAGTCAAGGGTTCGTTCGCCATGCTTGTCTATCTTGATAGAGCGGACCCCACCATCCATTGCTTCTCAGAGTTTGTCTGATCAAGTTTGGTTGTGATAGGTCATTGAACCACTTCGTTTAATTTCGTGTGTATCCCTTAGATGGCTCTAGTGGCACTGAACTCTCCTCATCATTTGGTTAGTGTACGATTACGACAATGGTATACCTTATCCTACTCCGTAATCTTTGATGATATGGGAGCGACATAAGCAACATGGCTGAAAACTCAGCCTTTCTCTTCCAACCTCGGCAAACGCAAATTTGGCACGTGTTTATTCCTCACTAGGTGTCTGTATATCATCAACCTTCTCCGACAGGAAGGCTGCCTTCGATTCGGTGGATCGCACTCGTTGTAGAGATGATTTTCTTTGAATGGTGTGCTGTAGAAGCTGACCTTTTAGAATGGGGCCTGGTGAAGAGCCGCGCGTGTGTAGTTTCACTCCGAAACCCTATGAGAGTCGGAAGGCAGGTTAATTATTTGTTGCTCCTGCCCATCTGACCGAATGTATCCCGGAGACTACTAGAGGCGAATGCTATGAACGGCTCTTCTTATTCAAGTGGTCCATAGTATAGGTATAAATATTGTTGCTGATATTATGAACCTCAAAATCAACAGCCTTTCAGTGTCAATACATCGCGTTGGAAATCATTTTGAGGTTCGACGCTAGTCGCACTGGCAGTTGCGACTGCCTTGCTTAGCTGCGAGCCAATCTATACCTCCATATCAACTGTGCAGCATCTCAACGCAAGAGTCCGCACGAAGTTTGGTCTGGACTCGCCAACCATGAACGGCGCACGTCAGTCCAGGGTTGTCAGTTGGTCCGGAGCAATTTACTTGACTCTAGTCACTCTTCTACACACGCCTCCATTATCTGTACCTGGGATCTGTGGAATAGTAATCTCAATCTGAATCGCAGCTTCAGCTGTCACCGATGATCGAAGTGGACGAACAGATCGCAAGCTAGATTCACGCGTAATGCGTTATGTGAAAAGCGTTCGATGGCGCCGGTCATCTGAACAGGGGATGGGTGCTTGAAGATTCGATAATTTTAGCTGAAGCCCAAACATGATTCCGTTGTGAAATCACTTCCCAAGTGTCCGGAACATATCGCAAATTGACCGGAAGTGTTTTCAGATGTTGATGGAGGAGTGACCAACGTTGTTGCGAAATCACGAGTGCTGTCTTAATTCAACGCGTAGATCTGAGATCACCGTTAGTAGGACAATATCTGGGGAAAATGGAGACCCGATTAGTTCTTGGCCTCGCCGATTATGCCGAGCTTCTTGAAAGACAATTAAACCGGCCATCGTATCAGAATTCCTAGTTGTGCTATTGGAACCTACCTAGGAGGTTGATCCAAAGGTCCCGCAGTCGAGCAGCTGCAATACGGACCGGTATTGCCTGAGTTAAACAAGATGCCTGGTCCAGGCCACTTTCTTGAATCACTACTAAAAGACAGCAGTAACTCACTGGTGGTTGGTCTAGATACCCTTTAGACACGGAGAGGTACAGCGATCTCAGTAGTAGCCTTGAATTGTTATTTCCGTTCAAAAATCCGAGATATGCTATGTGGGGACCATCGTGATGGTCTATCACTATCGTGTCCGCACCACTGACATGCATGGTGCGCTTCGGCGAAAGTCGGATTATTGGACATCAAGCGTCTCCTCCCAAGTTACTTAAACATCATCTTGGTTACTAGCAGTCAACTTTAATAATCCTCTCTGGATCGTAGATTCACCTTTTAGTGGCGTGTGGTGGTCGTCGGAGCCGTGTGATGCTCCGTGGGCACTTACCTTCCGTGGTCAGGATAATTTAAGTGCGTCAGCATCACTTCAATGTTGTCCTCGAGGTGCTCGCGGATGTTCGTTCCTCCACAATTCCTATTTTGCGATAGGAGCTCCACTGAATGACACTTCCGAACATAGAGCGCGCAGGTGACGTGATTCCCTTTAGGTCAACTGCAACTGCTGCGCGCGCCACCAGTCCTCACAATCGCTGAGCAACCACTCAGGGCGATCGATACATTTATATGGGTACTGGAATCACTCCTGGTTATTGCAGTACCGAATATGCCACTGTGTCCATTGGTAAGACTCGTATGGCTTTATGGTGGCGGCGGGATATGAGCTAGTTGGGAGCCATGGTTACTGCATAGACAAGAAACACAGTTATCATGCGTTGTGGACAGTAACAGCTTTTGTTTAACCACTGGTATCGTTGATATGTCACTTGTATGTGGTAATGCCGGCATCTGCGTTTTCACGTTTGACCGTAGGTGCTGCAATGGAGAGTGCCCTTCGAAATGGAACCGTGTATGCTGGCTCGGCTCTGCACTTCTTAACAGTGCGTTGAACGTAAATGGTGTCACTCTGAGGTGGCCAATCAGTGATGTGACAAAAGAGCCAAGCCGAAAAAATTCCTAAAATAATACTAATGCGTCAGCTGTACACCGTAACAGCGTTTCGATGCTGCGCGACCACCACCAGTCGCGCGTGCGCTGAGTATACCACGAAGACGCCCGCCTCTACGCGGATTCAAACCGTTGACATTATGATTGCAAGCCAGGCGTGCAGAGCACTCGGCCACTGGCCGACAAAAGGATATCTACACACCGTGCTACGATATTGAACCGAGCCAAAGGCATGGACGGGTCTGTGGTGAGTCACGTGAGCAACCAACGAAAGCCGGTGCTCGTCAATGGGCTTGTGATTGGTCGCGCGAGCAGCTGTGACCAAATACGGCGCACACCGACATTGTGAGCAGTCCGGTGTTTGAAACGCCATCAAAACAGATGAAGCCAAGGCAAAGACGATTGGAAGACGGAGATGCCCGTTTAGGAACATATGCTTGACCTATAAATATAGCTGTCACTTAACGCACAATATACGCTGCCAGTCCAGTCTTGACTGGAACGCCAAGTAGAGAAGACTGAAAGTTAGTGGCATGACATTAGCCGGACGAAAGTGACGGAGGGTGTGAATTTTGTCGCCCCCATGGATTGAGTCCTCAAGATAAGCTGCATCGTTGATCAGACGCGGTACCGGAAATGACACTACGCATATGCTACTTTGCACCTTACTCCTAGCTACATAATCTGATAGTTTTCGTTTTTTTCATTGGTAACCTTTGCTCATTATTTGTTTGATGTGAGTTTGGACAGAGAGTAACGGCATAACGGCGATGATACAGTATTTGAATCTCTTAACGTATCCACGGCTTGTCGAGGCTGCTTATTCCTAAAACCTGGCAGTATACTTGATTGTTGCGATACGGCAGTGCTTCTCTCCATCACGCCACATGAGTTTCATGTATGTACAGACCTCTAGCGCAGCCCTCTTTTAGGTCGTACCTTTGTGATGGATTGCTGACTTTTAACTTTCATGGAACGTTACGTAAAATATCCTATGAAAAATACTGCTGGTCCATCTTGCTCTCCGCACTGTACATTCCTAGTAGGTGAAAACTTTCTGATTGAGTCCATTGAAAATTATTTGATCCCTTCACATGCTCCAAGCGTGTGCAAACCTGATTTGAACTAATGTACGGCTTAAAACGAATGGCTACATTGTCTGCAAAGTGGTAGCATGCGTATCCATTGTCTCTGACCGGTGAGATCTACTTCTCAAGACTGAGAACACAGAATCTACTCGTCAATAGAGATAGGTTGAGTGCACAACAAAATATTCGTTGGTCGTGATCATTCTCAGCTATACTCAATGAAATAGTGCGTTACTTTTTTGTTTGTGCCTCAGACATCTTCACACATCAAACCATAGATATCTCACTAAAAGCCAAATGAAGGAACGGGTCCTATTCCCACATCTCATTTACCCATCCATGAACGCAGATCGATCATATCGCGATCATTTACCGCTAGAGAGGATGCGCCCAGGACTGTCGCTCGATTTGGAGCATCGGCAACGACACTGTGAGCGCATAGACATCAGCCAACTGATGAAGCCAAGTGTTCTAAATGCGTATGAACGTACGCTGACATTTAAGCTGAGTAGACGCCTACTGAACACAGTTGAACATCACTGGTCTCCTATACGCCAGCAGGCATGTTTTCATGTGGCAAAACAAATTGCCAAGCTGAACATTGGGTCACCAATGTGTTCCGGCTGGTAGCACACGCAACGACACTCGCAAAGACCTGAGGGCAAAATTGCGTGCTAGCCTGAAGACAGACCGCGAAACCTGGTGGTCTCATTTTACCTCG